TGGATCCTCGTGATACCTGTCAGTCTTTTCGTTTTCGAGGCATCTTGTAGAGGATTGTGAGGTAGCTGCTTGTCATCTCAGCGAACTTTACTACTCCTGTTTATGACTTTGTTTTTACTTGAAAGACAACTTCATTTAGTCTTCTATTTTGTTTCAATTCTAATTTTTACATTAGAGGCTTGTGCACTTGACAAACTGATTTTGGGGATTGGATTAATATGACTTGGTTTCATAATAGGAATTGTTGTTGGATTGTCATTTACTTCCACACTTTGTTAGATATTTGGTTTTAGGCTGACTTGTCTTGGTGGGATAAGACGAGTGCCATCACAACCATTTTTGGGTCGTGACACTAGGAGACAATGAATTATATCTTCATAAAGCAAGATTAAACTTATAGAATAATTGGTGAAGTTTAAAATTTTTATGAATCAAGAATTTTTTTGTATGCTTAGGATCTTATGTCACGCTCCAATATTATCCATGCACCCGAGAAGGTGCTTAGAGCCACAAGCATCCGAAGCTGGCGTGATAGTAAAATTAACATAAATCAATAGAAAATTGAAGCATAAATGTATAACCTAATTTGAAATATCGATATAAAGTCCTTAACACTGAGACGTATTAATATATTTGAAAGAAATAACACAAACAAAATTTATATTGATATGACTGTTGGAAAGCCTTTACTTGTATGAGCTGCTAGAATAAACGCCTAACTAATAACTCCATCTCTGTGAAATTGAAAGTAATATTGAAAAAAAAGATCGGGTACTTGTTATCAAAGTGACGAAGATTCACCAATATTGTTGCTCGCTAATCAGAAGTACCACTAACCACGAGTAGGTCTAAACATCAAAAGCTACCTGCATTATCAACCAGAGTATGTTAATAGTACCTTTTGTAACCCTATAGGTATGAACTTAAGGAAATAAGAAGGTTACATTTGATGATCAATATTATCAGTATGTAGGCCCATTGTGCCTTCAGCAACATAATACGGAACAACATGTGGTGTGGAGCCGTCACTAACATCAGCATCATCATCAAGAAGGAAATCCAAAATGTCAGTCTCCATAATCACATCAGTGACGTCATCCTTCTTCAAAATACGACGATGATTTTTCTCAGTTTTAAACCAGGAACGAAGAGTTAGTTCTTGAATGAACAACTCACATGCTTTAGCCAACAAAACAGGTGATTCAGTAGCAATCATTCTGACATCCTTGTCTGTCTTCATGATCTTCTTGATGCGGTTAATTGAAGGTAGCAGGTTGCTCTTGAAATCAATAACATTCTCCATTTCCCTCTGCTTGTCTATCCAAAACATCTCTAGCTTTTCTTGCTTTTTCTCAAGGTGAGGCAGCGCCAACATTGAATACACATCAGATTGACCTGCATTCACTGCTGATTTCTCAGAGTTGTTTTCCATGATGATTTTTTCTATGTTTTCAAGCTCAGACACAGAAAAATGAAGATTTATACATATATGCAATTGTGTCTATATATAGAGAGAGAGAGAAAAAAAATAAATCTAATTATAAATTTTCTAAATTTAATTAAATGAATGAACCTAGAAAATTCTAAATCTACATTTAGTCTAAGACTATTAATGGTAATTTGTTAAAATTTAATATGTAATAATAAAACTGTAAGAAAATAATTATCTTATTAAATACTAGCTAAATTTAGTCAATAATGCATCAAATACTAGTTAGTTCTAGTCAATAAGGTATTAAAATGAGCTAAGATATCAATAAAATAATTATATTTGAGTATTCTAATAATTTTTTTCTAGAACCCACTATATATCACACAAAAAAATTAAAAATGAATAGAAAGAAATAAAAATTTTGTTACAAGATATACGTACAATGCATCAAATTTGATGTATTTTAGACTGTGAATAATACTTTAATAAAATAAGATTAATTTTATAAAAAAGCGGACGAAGTTTAGAATTTCTATGTACAAAGAATTTTTTTATAAACTCAGAATTTTATCATATTATATATATCACATCATTATATTAACAAAATCATTATTGTCATCACGAATTTGGTACTAACATGTCATGCGTGTATTTTGAGATTCATGAGTGTTTTAAAATCTATCGGTACAATTATCAAATGTACTATGCAGAGCAATATATGACCTGTACACGATATGAATTTGATTAAATGTATAACTTAGCTTCACTAATTTGCAATGTAAACTATATTCAGACATCATGAGAAGGGGTGACATAGTTTAATAATGCATATTAAATAATAATTTTTATTACAAATATGAACCCAATTAATAGGATCTTGAATCACATAGTTGGGTTATGTACTATCACTGTTAATATTTCCAAATTGATAAAAATCTCGCATTCCTCGACGTTTCTTTTTATCTTTTAATTGATCTATACTGCACCTCTGTGAAATTTTTTGAATTAGGATTAATACATTAAACACTCTAATGTATATAGAGAATATTTGTTATTTTACAAACAATGACAACAAGTAAACAAAGTAACTTCATGTTTCTTGTTTTCTTTGTGAGAAAAATTAGGTTTACAAGTGAGATTTTGCACTACTTTTACATTGTTTTATTTTTACAAAAGAGAACACAATTAGTTTAATTAATTGATCTGCCTTCTCAATTTCTCGTGTACCTCATCTTGTCTATCAAGTTATTTTGCAACCAAACAAAGCCTATTTGGTTAAACATATATACACATCAAATTTCTTTTATTATGGTGTTGATAAATGGTAACATATACATTTTTTTCTAATACAACAAAGTAATTGTTAAATTCACTCATAACTTCTTTATATTTGTTGCCACTGCATCCGCAATCGACTATTCAAAGTTATTTTTCAGAAAATTTTGGACAAGAGACGACTTTTTCAATATTAACACAGACAACTGAATGTAAGATAAATGTTGGTGTTTATATATACAGAGGAGAAAGAAATCTAATTATAAATTTGCTAAACCTAATGAAGATATAAGTGTTGATAATTCTTGAGGTACAATGCAATTTCAGTAAGAAATAAATGAGAGAAGTGGTCCACATACTTATTTTAATTAAACGAAAATCTTAAAAATAGTGAACAGCTCCATAGATAAAATATGAAAAATCACATCCCCATAAATAAATCAGACACAATATTACAAAACATAAGATTCATTTAAAATCTTAGAAAATATAATTTTATATCACAAAATATAGCAGATTGAAATAAATTAGAAAATGTTTTTTTTTCTTTTAAATTTTGGACATTATTTATGGGCTAAATTTTTAATTTTATATTGTGGTAACACGTGTTTTAATTTTCTAAAGGAAAATCACTTGTCTGTTCATACATTTTTCCATTTCTCTCTCTTTTTCACTTTTAATGGGAAACTCATTATTCTCTCCCTAAAATAAAATATAATTATTAGAATTTTTTTCGTACAATTCTCATAATGCTATATCAGTATTAGTATTTTCATTCAAATATTTGATTGATCATTTCCTCATAAAAGTTTGAATTTTCATCTACTTTATTCCATGTTAATGGATTTCTCGATGTTACTCTCTTGCCATGTATAATACATGTTTTCAGTCAATACTAGACATGTCTTCGAGAAAAAGTAACTTGAAAACAAATAATCACAATTTTTATCTTGCACTCAACACAATAAAACATGAATCTTATACATGCATGCATACATACATACATAAATACATACATACATACATACATACATATATATATATATATATATATATATATATATATATATATATATATATATATTATTTTTATTATTTAGAAGAAAGAAGTGGGAGGACGATCAAGGGCGAAAATATAATTTCACGCTAACAAAAATCTATTAAGAAAGATGGTTAATATTTCTAGAAATATCTTTCTATATATGAAGTGAATAATGATCAAGGGCAAAAATGTAATTTTACGCTAACAAAAATCTATCAAGAATGATAATAAAAAAATTAAATAATTCTAGAAACATCTTAGGTTATTGTTATTACCATTAACTTATTTTGTTATTACTTCACTTTCTTTTCTTTTATGAGTTATTATTATATCTATTTTATTATTACTCTATTTTACTATTACTTTAATTTAATTCTTAATATTTTTTTATTCATTGTGCTTATAAAAATGCCTACTTTTAATATAAAAATTTATCATGAATTAATTATTTTCATCTTTATTTTGGCTCTAATAATATAATTGAAAATAAATAAGTGTGATCAAATTAATAATATATATTTGATTGAAATTAAAGAAAAAGATGTTGAAAAGTAACTTTACAAATAAAAATGAATAGGATGATATATTTGTATTAAGGACGACTAAAATATAATTTTATTCTAACAAAAATCTAACAAGAATAAATAGTTCTAGAAACATCTTTATATATATATGAAGTGAATGATGATCAAAGGTAAAAATGTAATTTCATGCAATCAAAAATCTACCATGAATGATAACAAGAAAATTAAATAGTTCTAGAAACATATTTACTTATTATTAGTAGTATTACCACACTTTTGTATTTTTTTCATTTTTTTATGAGTTATTGTGATATCTGTTCGTTATATGAAAGTAAATAAATAATGATTACGCTTAGCTTTTAATAATTATATATCAAGTATAATATTAGATAGAATCAATCAAAATTAAAATTAGAATTTATATGTATATTTAAATTTTGTGTATTGAAATATTTTTAATTTTCTAATTTAAAATATGCTATATAAATAAATTAAAATTCAAAAGTTAATTTCCTTTTTGAAATAAAATATAACAATAAGTTCATATAAATAGAAAAGGAGGGATTCATATATTCAAAATGAAATGTACATGTGTTATTATTAAAATGAGCTTTCATATATTTCTTTATAAGAAAATCGCTTGGCTTCTTTCTATTAATTTGTGCATATATGTGGAGCTTTAAAGATTTGAACATTTTAATATAGAAATATAATGATTTGAAAACTTTAAATTCTTCTCTTTAACTACTAATTTTTTACAAATTTGAAAATTACATGTCACGACCCAAAAATAGACGTGATGGCACTCGTCTTATCCCACCAAGACAAGTAAGCCTAAAACTGAACTATTACAATAAAAATGCGGAAAATTTACTATCAACTTACAGTATACCCCAAAACCTAGTTGTCACGTGTACAAGCCTCTAAAGTATTACAATCGGATCAAAAGAAAACATAAGTCTCATATGATATTGTTTCTAGAGTAGAACAAAATCATAAGAAAGAGTAAGAAGGGATGCTGAGATGACCAACAACTACCTCACAAAATCTCCAGGAAGCATCGGAAAAGAAGAGAATATATCATAAAGTCCGGGCTAGTAAACTACAAAAATTTGTAGAAGCAAGGGGTGAGTACCAAATCACACGGTACTCAGCAAGTAAACCTCTAAACACAAGCTAAGGGGATGAAATACGGGTACTCCTACCACCCCCAACCGAACCTCCACAACTACAACCTACATAAACATCAGCCCAACCTAACAAA